TTATTCACAGTGGGTGATCACTGATCACCCACTGTGTGTCTGATCACTGATCGGACACACCTCGTGCTTCCATGCTCGTGTCGAATCAAATCCACCTTCGCTTCTGTGAATCAATGAAACTTCGTTTAAAAACCCCACAGAAGCAGATGCAGATGCGGAGTTCTCATCAGCAGGACTGTCCTCGCCTCTTCATGCACCACCAGACAGTGGTTCGTGTCTGGCGATACCTCCGAGGGTTTCAGAGGCTAGCCATAGTCCTCAGCTTAGGATCACCTTGCAAGGTACTTATTTCTGACCATGTGGATGAATTGTCTTTCTTTGGCTATTGCAGCATTCTGTCTGAACTCTGAAATCTTCATACTCGACATCAAGTTTGTACAATTCAATGACATGTATATAGACTTCTCTTGGCTGTGCATCTCAACGGCACATTCAGGCTGCCGGGCACGGGTTTGCCTTCAGGAGAATTGATTCTCGAGAAAAAGGACTCACATTCGGGAAAGAACGAGTGTATCTGTCAAAGGGATTGAGCAATCATTCCTTTGACAGATACACAGATATGAAATCCGACGATGGAATCAGCTCACGGTTTTAACGACAGATAGTTGTTTCACTGGCTGCAGGAATTGGAAGCCTGCTTAGTGACTGGAAAGTTCTCGGCACACACAAACTCCTTAAGCTCGGAACTTCTAAAATGTTAGGGGCGGCCCTATTGGTTGGAATCATAGCGTACCGGAAGCACAGACGAGAGAAGAAGAAATGGGAACAGGATGATCGATTACCGGAGCAAGACCACAAGTAACGTCGAGACTTGCAGATCTGGAAACCGATCATGCATGAGGCTGTTCATTCAATATCGTGGCAGTGCATTTGCAGCTTGAGGCTTGAAATTGAGCTAAAGATTTTACTCTACGTATGTGCTTTGTGATGTTGTGTTGACCTGAGAGTAATCATGGATTCAGCTCAAACACTGACGGTAGCTGCTCGGGGTTTTCCTTCAGAACAAAGGAATACAAGCGCATAATTCTTGCCAGGCTGGTGACATCAGTCTACATGATGCACAAGGAAGCCAAGACATACGCTGCAGCCGCAAGTAATCACCAATTTTGGATGAATTTCAACTGGTCCAAAGAATGCTCGGATCTGTGGTCAGACAACTACGAGCTCGTAGACTTCGACCTCGCACGTCTGACCAGAGTTCTCAACCCCGAAGAGCAACATGAACTCCGTAAAGGTCTGGCACCTATCTTTAGTGCGCATTTAACAGTCCTCGTGCATAAGCGTAGGAAGTATCCTTCATCTTCCTGATTACCAATAGCCAAGTCTTCTGAAAATTGACAGGAAGGTTTGCCTGCTCCAATTGCCTGCAGAGCTGGACGACTGCGCCGAGGATCTGGTCCATTTCGCCGTGTTCCATCGAAAAGCAGTTGCTCACGAGCTAAATCCGGAGTGGATGGTTGCGATCCGAGGGACGGCCTCGAAGAGGGATCTATTATCCGACCTGAAAATCTTCTTCGAGAGGTTGCACACCTCGAGCCTGGTCCAGATGCTAAGGAAAACAGTGGAACGGCTATGCGCGGATCATAAACCATGGAACGTGACAGTGACAGGCCACTCATTGGGAGCTGCAGCAGCGCTGTCAGTCACCCGGAAAATGGCGGTGCAAAATACCCTTCTGGACACGCACCTTTTCAACCCTCCATTCCTACCCGTGGAAACTATCGCCCGCTTCACGTTAATTGCGCTGAATCCCTTCTACTTACTGCTAAATAGGAAGGTCGTCACCAATGTTAAGGATAGCATAGCCGAGGTCGTGGATAATGAGCAGTACCTAAAGTCGGTGGGAGAGATTATGGCTTTGGTGAACTGGAAACCGCATCTGTACGTGAACATGAACGACCCGATCTGCTTCCAGTACGCATATTACTTCAGGCATTACAAGGACGAGCCCATGTCCTACTCTCTGGGCAACCTCTTGTCTCGTACCTTGTTCGGCTGCTGCGCAGAGACTTTCCACTTGATCCCCGAGGCCATACTGTGCCTGGACACGACGCGTAGGGGGTTAAAGGATATTGCGAATCCGCTCAAGCCTCACAAACTGAAGAACTGGATGGCCTCTCCTCCTCCCCATGTCTGCTACAATATTGTAGTTGACATCTTCTCGGAGGATGACACAACCGTCGACTAGACCGGCGAGATCCACATGCTCGAGGCAGCAGTGGACCAATAGAAGCAGCCGCTGGAATCAGCTCGCTGCTGACGGCGAGCTTGTATTCAATCGATGCGGCGTACTCTGTCCGGTCCGTTCACATTGTAGTGAGACAAGTGCCCTGAAGCTTGTCTCACCTCAATGTCGCACGAGATCTGTGCTCGTAGGTAGTTCAAGTGGTCGGTCCACGTGGTTTTATCGGTCTGCGGTCCATGAATATGAAGCTTCCGTGAAGCTCATATCAGGCCCAAGGTTTTGGGTACGTGGTTTTAGTCCTCATCATGATCTTCCAGTTCATCCATAACCTCAATGGTTGTTGTCCCCTGAGGTATCGAGACTTGCTTCGATTACAGAATAATACTTTACGGTTTGAGGTATGATCATATGCAGTCCACACTGATTCGGATCACATGCTGGAGGCCTGGAATGCTGATCCAAATTGGTATGTTAATAGCAGGAGCAGATTATGAGCGACATAATAGCACAAGTCCTACGGAATTAATAGAAGCCATTCAGGATTGCAGTTCAGAGTTGTCAGTCAAGGCTAGCTTTCGCACGCAGGAACCAGTACTCACCAATTCATCTGAATGAGAACGAAAGAGAAACTTCTGGGCATGAGCACAAGCCCAACCCTGGAGTTTAGGTACACACTGTTTAAGAATCTTCTGAAGTGGCTGCGTTGTCACGTCAAACCATTGACAACAGTCCTTCGATCAGTCCATGAACCAGCTAAGCTAGTTGATTGCATATCGTTAGAGTGCATGCCAGTGAACATAGGATCCTGCTTTTAAATCCATACGAATCGATTGTGTGTCGTGAGAGCATGTATATACCTCCTGATGTTGGTTCGGGAGTAGTTCACGAGTCTGGTAAACGAAAGTGCATGTGTAGCATCGCAACACATGCACTTATGCTTTCATTGCATTGCAGAGTTGGACGAGGTAGGAAATGCATGATTGTCTGGTTTTAGATCCAGTCTCCGGGATTCATTAAATGCTTCCGAACGGAAAGACAATGTAGGTGGCGGTTCAACCACAGGGTAAGAACTTTCGAACTTCTAGGGGCCAATAGAAGCTATAGAGGTAAGGTATGACGATAAAAGTATTCTATGTAAGGCTTCTGCGGATTCTGCAGCGTTTAGTAAAACTTAAAGGTGTCAAGAGTTGCCATGTTTTCAATGCTTCAGAGCAGTTAAGGGTCATGGTGCTCAACTGGACGAACTTAGCATTCCGAGACACACAAGGTGGCACCGATTTATTTTCATAATAACACGGTTCTGCATACGCAACAAACTTAGAGCAAAAGTTAGAGGCACTAGCGATCATTCATCGTCTGTCAAATGCAGAAACAACGGAAGAGCGTTGAAACGTCCATAAATGGCGTCGAAGGGCCACCAATTTGAAGCTGTGAACTGCAAATGGAGAATCACCTTCCACGTTCCACCATGATTGTTGACGACAAGCATACCTTCAAAACTTTACGAGGCTTATCTACAGATTATACTGCAACCTCCTGATATTTCAGTGGGTACTCACCTTGCCAAAAACTTCTATGATTGAATGAAAGTTTGTGTGTGGGATAGTTTGTCAAAAAGATAAAAAATAGAGTTGCAAAAATACAAACAAATTTGGAAGTAGATTGCTTTCGAGGTACACGGTTGACAACTCCAGCCATCTATCAAACACCACGAGAATGTCCCATGCCTATTTAGTCCACATCCCATTCGTTGCCGTTCACACTCCCTACAACCCAGGAGCACGAGAAAATCTCTGGCCTCTAGAACTCCGCTGTAGCTCATGCTACGGAATTAATTTGTGACTAATCGATGGTAATTTCTCATCTTCTTTGTACCTGGCTTCATAGAACTTGTTCCACGTATCTCGTTGTCAACGTGGGCAGAACCTTGATGCTCTGGTCTCCATTTGGCGCAATTCAGTTTTGGGAGGCAAGGTCCAGTGATACAATGTTGAAGAGCTCCTGTTCTTTGTGTGGGATGGTGGCCGTGTAATAGGAAGAAAGCGGTGGTAAACCGATGTCTGTGAAGTTGAGAGTTGTGCTTATTTCATGTGAAGAGCAGATCGGATTTTACTGTGGATACGCTGATCCTACCAGGTTCAGCTACCTTAAGTCGCAGAACTGCACGGTAAGCAAACCAACCTAGGAATCTCAGAAGGAAGAACGCATATTTACCATGGACGTGTACTTGCCAACGAAACGAGATGCATATGGAATTATTCAGAAGTTGCATCTGTTTCGATCATATTAAAATCGGCTTTTTTAAGTGTTCAGTGAACAAACTGCATTGCATAATAAAAGGCGAGTGAGACGCTTGTGTATATTGTCCTGTATTCAGATTTTTCGAATTATAAAATAGAGTGTGATCTACAGCTTCCGCGACTGGGTGACTGAATTTCATTTTCGGAGCATTCATACCACTACCACGCTTGACGTTGCCGTGGCATCGAACAGAACTAACACCAGTAGAGCTGCTGTAACATTCATACTCCCAACTCGTGAAAGAAGAGCGATGACCATGCTGCAAGTGTGTCCAGCCGCCAAAAAGTCTTCAAAGGTATCAACCTTCGATCCTAAAGAACGCGAAAGCTCTGGCCCTGATTGATTGGTGAACGAATCAATCGATTGTGTTCAGAACCCAGGCGTCCACCATGTGATTCCACACCGTGTTCATTTCAGTTTACTAAGTTGTCAAATCACATGACGAAAGCCGGGTCCGTGCTATTAATCGGCACTCTGGGAGACTTCATGCCCAACCACAAACATAGATTTCAACAAGGGCCCAAAAATATGGCAATTTTTAATAAACATGGGCGAGTGTTACAAATATAGAGGGCACGAGAATTTTGATTATTGCACTCATCTTCTTTGGCGAGGTAAGAATCCCATCGCATTTTGAATGTTTTCCAGAGTGGCGTTGGCAATGACCTCGGCTCGTTCCGCTCCTTCTTTTAGTATTCCATCTAAATATGCAGGTTCTGCTACTACTTCACCATATCGCTTCTGCAAAACGTACAATGAAATAAGTAGGGAAGACAGAATGGACCGAAAGTATAGGATTGTGAGGATGTGAGGAATGTACAACGACGGGCTACAAAACATAGCAATACACAGAGAAGATTCGTTACCTGAATGGGTGTTAAATGTTCAACAAGTGCATCTGCTAACAACGGTTTAAATTGGCCCCAGTTCATGTCCTTTACTTCCTCTGCAACTTCCTGCAGTCAGTTGATGTCTTAGTACAAATGTTGAAACCAAGCCTCCTGCATAATAAAACTCAATTTTCTATCACTATTCTTAATATAGTAACAGTACATAGCGATGGAATCGTTGTGAGCTTGGCCATATGAATAGGAAATGTTGAAAGAGATCAATCCAGTAGTACTGCGTCTGTAGTTTTTTTCCTTTCCTGCTTTCTTGTTGCGGAACTATGTGGTATTTAGATTATTTTTTAGCCATTAGTCTATTTATTAAGTATATTAAGTACTTCGACGAATCAGACGTAGAGCTATAGATAAGTAGGCGCTGCTTCTGTCCTCCTGAAAGTTGGGCGGGAAAGTCCGGATGTGATAACCGTAACAGAGCCGCCGACTCCAGTTATGGATGCTGGACCACGAGAAATTGTTATCTTCACTTGTTTATTTCTCCAATTTTTGCTGCTGAAGAAAACTCTACTTTCGTGGGAAATTTTCTGTCTTTTTTTAAATCTAACGCTCACCTCTTTTGTCTTCCCGCTGACGAGCTGATATATACCGAGTAGATTAGTGCACTCGGGTCTGTCGGGATTATCGAACTCCATACTGCAAGAGAAAGAACTCTTTTTTTAGTACCACTGATAATAGGATATACGAGGCCAGAATAAATTTGGAAAGCTGGTAAGAAAGCAAGTTTTGAAGACATACTTTAAAGCCCTTTCTCTACACATGCAGGAAGGAAAAGCCTTCATGTTTTACGTACCCAGTAAACGAATCTGTCTTGCACCGAGTTATTTTGCGGACAATTTCCTGCGTAGAAGTTCAACCAAGAATTGATTCCGCTGCACTAACAATGTTTGCCCATCAAATGTACAATCCTGCATGCCTAAAGTTAAAACTAGAATGAGTGGAACGAGTCCCGAACGAGCTTACATCACGTGTATCAAGTAGATTGATTCGAGACTGGTCCGACGGCGCCGACTTGGACATCTGCCACATGTAAATCAAAGTTATAAATGTCAAGAAAAATGAATCATCGAGCCATGTTGTACGAAAATGAATGCAAGAATTCATGTGATCCGTGGTGTTGAATACCCCACCTTCGATGTTCCATCGGTCAAAGACATAATTCGTGCACCAGCTGGTGGTATCAATGCATCTGGGACCTGTACAATACCATCGTGTAAGAGAGGGTCACGAACATTCTCCGCTAAATATCTTAGAACGCATGCACTCGATAGAGCGGCCGGTTGAATACCTTGAAAATCCTTCCTCCAGGCCTGCAAAGGATAAAGTAGATTGAGTACACATTATAGAGGCTCAAAACTCATGAAGATACATAATCATAGAGTCTAAACTATTTTTCATAATTCAAAGAATTTTCTGAAAAAAACTTTGGTAAGCAGATTACATTTCTCTACGACATATATTTTATAAAATGCATCTCAATGTATGTGAAACACTTTCACAAATTTGAGATACAAGTTCCGAACTTGAAAAGCCAGGCATCTTCCACAATAAAAATATTTCCATTTGCATAATTTAAATACGAGGCAGGTTCAAAATGGAAATATTACTCAACAATGCCATGGATAATGCTTAATCGCTGTATAAGAGGCTTGTGCCATGATATCAAACACAAAGGTCTAAGAGAGTCGTATGCGATGACTTCAAGATGCTAGAAAAGAGACACTGACCCGCCACGCTTCTTCCATTTTTTGCCTCCATATATATTATTGACTCGATCGGCAACATCACGAGTAAGTTCAAGGTGTTGTCGCTGATCCTCTCCGACCGGCACAAGATCACACTGCCAAGCCAATTTTTGAGAAAGATAAGAAACAAGTACACCTTGCAGATCAGCCAACTATACCTTCTCTCCTGGAAAAAATGTGTTACATCTCACAGGACGAGCTCAACATGCCAACTAAGGTCGTTTACCAACACAGAAGCACTAATGTATGACAGGTACATACTGTCCACAAGCACCAGCAATGTGTTGAAATAATCTGAGTTCTGCTGAACGCAGCTCTCTCCTTCCTACGATCGTGCATTGAGTGTTACAGCATCAAATGAAGTCTTTGAATGTACCTTTACAGGTATTTGTTCTAAAGCCAAAGTTCATTCCAGCTTCTGCACCACAAGAAGAGATTAACAGAAACCTGTAATCTCGGTAAAGGAGGAGCTTGAAGAACTGATACGAAGGTAAGAAATGAGAATTTTACCTGGTAAAGAAGAATATCAGATGCCATCAATAATGGGTAAGTTAGCAGTCCAGTCCCCACATCCTCGCCCTGCACAAGATTGCATATGTAGATATACATCAGCACACGACGCATATTGCAATTAGCCTCACAAGAATCCGACTGAACCGGTTCGATTACACCGCAGCCAAAACCAAAAAAATAGCGTCAACACACTGTTTCCAAGCAGCTTCAACACACTTCTAAGCAGGGGAGAGGATGACAATAACCCACTTACGGATTTGCGAGCCTTTTCTTTGAACTGTATCATCTTGTTGAGCCAGCTTATGGGTGTAACGCAACTGAGAAGCCATGTCAGTTCTGCATGGGCTCGAACATGAGACTGTACAAAGATGGATGCCTGCATGCTTGAAGAGAAAAAACCATAAGGAAACAGAGGAGAAATCAGGAATTAAATTTTATTCCTCACTCAAGACGATTCGAAGTACCAGAAAAATGCACTATACCAGTACTACGGACCCTCATCTCCTCGCAGTTGTTCCTAGTTTTCATGAGGACTCAATCTTCAGTAAGGGCTGGTCAGACCTTGGATGGATCAACTCCGCATGCTATGTAAAGAGCTGCTGATTTTTTTGTTGCTTCTATGAGTTCCTTCGGCTCATGGGGCAAAGTTATCTGCGATGATAAAATTCGAGTCAAATCACTGTACGGTCTTGCATGAATGAATCATACTTCTATCGAACAGAAACAAAGAGAACAATTTGCACAATCCTCGGTAAACAAATATAACGAGTGAATACATCCAATCTAACGTTCACGATAATTTGATGGAGACAGCTGACCAAGATGGCATACCGCATGAAGATCGACGACAAAGAATAGTGTATCGTACACATCCTGTGGAAAACAAGAACAAAAAAACGTTTCAGTCACTGGCTTCTGAAGATCCAAGAACAATGAAAACCTTCGAGATAAACTGTGGTACAATTCTGCGAAAAAACTAAGATCTTCTTCCAGGTCTTTCATGGACTCTTTGAACTGTACCTTTGCAATAATAGACAAGTCACGCTACTGACAAAATATAAACTTCAGGTTCATAGAGTTGCTCCAAGAGCAGCTAGAAAGAACTAAAATCTTCAAGAGAAATGACAGGTCAGGATAACAAGTAAACAAAGCGTCAATTTCTGACAACCTAGTACTTCTCCACACTTAGACTTCGGATCACAACCATGAAAACAATAGGAACGATCAGTACCTGTAGAGCAACCCAGTTTTTTATGGCTCCTAGATAATTCCCCAAGTGAATTGCACCTGTAGGTTGAACGCCTGAGACGACCCTTTTTCTGCAGGAAGATACCGCTAATATAAGCATTCACGATGTGCAGCAGAATATCGAGACAACTTTGTCTTTCCGAACAAATGCTTACGGATGTCTACATGTCATGTATAAAAAGCACAAGTACTTTGATAACAAATGCATCTGTTCGTCAAGGAAAAATGGACAAATGTTCCTCGTTGAGCATGTGGAACAGATGGTACCCAATAATTCTGCACTGCACGACTCGAAAACTTCAGTAATGCACGATGAATAAAACTGAGCTCTGCTATCAATCCCCGGATATGCTGCACGAGTAGACTGGATACTTACTTTATAGTTGAGGCTTGGGCAGAAGATTCACCATCACTTGGAGATGTTACAGGTACCGAGTCGGCAATTGGAGATGAGACCTGCGCACAAACTCTCAAGTGACGTGCTCTTCTTTGAGATTCCACAGCAGATTTCGTAATGTTCGGGAGCGACAGAGAGGTGCGACCAGCTTGGGTGAATGCCCGTTGTGTACAGCATGACCTGAAATTTTTTGAAGAAACTTCAGTTTCCGAATGTAATTGGCAGTGCAGCTCATGAGCTGTGCGTAAACGAGTGAGAATCGGATATGGTCAGCTCCTACTAACGGCAAATCCTTCGACTGGAATGGTTCGCCTGGGCCAAATCGGGCAACATTATGAAAAATCTCAAACACTGTTCAAATTTTCTAACCAGAGCTCGTGGCGGGAGTAATGTGATGGTTGCTATGCAGGATACCCCGAAAATGGCAAAACATTGGCAAAAAAAAAAATTCATTCGATCTGTGATCTTAGTACTACAGAGCTGCGCACTGAAAAATCTTGGAATTTCAGATTTCCGAATTCATGTAAAGTTCTTGGCTTCAGCATCAGAATGATCGCCTGCCTGCTAAAAAACGTAAGCTGATTTCATTTCAATTCTCCTACTTCATCCAACCCACGAGCATTCAGCCGCGCCAATTCACCTCGAACCAAATGCTATTAGACACGAGAAAGCATTATCATGAACGAGGCTACGTACAAGGATGACAGCGACGAACGGAGTGCAGGACCCACACACGCCTGCGCCATGGCGCCAGACAGCAGCTGATAGAGGACTCGCACGGGGACTCAAGCGACGCTCATCAGCAGCACGACTCAAGCCTCGGTTCCGAGAGTGAAGGTGGGGAGGGGGAACAGGGGACAGTTTCCGACTGGCGATGCTCCACCGTTTTCTTCTGGGAGCGTGTCTGGTGGACGCGGACCGTTGGATTCCTCCGTGGCGTGACCGACCCCTGGTCCAAACGGGAAAGGCCTTTCTGGTAGCAGGTCATCAACATGAGGTGCTCGTCCCCTCGACCGGCCAGGGGGAGGCGTGTGCGACTCCGTGGGAATGACTTAGCTTTCGTCCCAGCAACCGAACATTCTCCCGCGCTCAACCGGTGGTCACCACGGTGGCCTCGAAATTGCGAAGGGAGAGAGAACTGTAGCCGAGGGTACGCGGTCCACTCACACGGTAGTCCAAGGCCCCGAACACCCGGTAGTCCAAGCCTTTGACCGGCGTTTCTGACCTTCTACGCTCTCGGGGTAACCGTTCGCGCAGGTATCTGCCACCACGGAGGTAAGTGTCAATGTTGGGGACACAGTGGGCGGTGGACTTCGTACGTAGGCCAAAATCGATGGAGATATGGTCAGGGAATCAGGATGGACTGCGTTTGCCGTAGAAAGGATTGAGGAATGAGGGCTCGCTTTCAAGAGATGCTGCGTGTTACAATTCAAGTAATGTGGTAGATGAGGCAGATTTTCTAAAGTGCGTCATTCCTGTTTGGAAGTAACCCTTTCTGTTAGATCAGCTGTCACAGCTGATAATTCAGCACAACAAATTTCACTGCATATTGTACACTCACTGGCTTCGGCAAACATAGGCCTGTGTTCATCGTAGATTATTCAGACGTATCCCAGACCAGCCATATAAATGTTGACAAAGGTGAGTTCAAACTGTCCACCTTAATAAATTGTGCCCCATATTATAATTTATGTGTCCATGAATTTTGGACCTTTTGCCTACTACTGAACCCCTGTGGAAGGAAGAAATGCTTGCATGAATTGCTGCACATCCTTCCGGAATAAAGAGCCTCTCTTGAGCTCAAATATCAACGTTAATTGCTTTTGGGTCCCGGTCCTGGAGTAACAACACACAAACTTTCCCCTTCAATGCAAGTTCGAAGTATGTGCAAGCTATGGTGCACCCCAACGTGAGAAGCTCATAAAGTCACTGCAACCATTACAAAACGTTGACTGTAAGAACATGTACCACCTAAAAGTTTTCTCAAGCACGTGAGTAGGTAGAAATAAATCCAGCTTGTAAAACCAACTTTTCACAAACTTACTTGATGAGGAACCCCTGCGGCATTCGTTCAGCATGTCCACGTAAAATTGGCATTTTCCAATGTCATCGTTGTTGGCTTGGATACACTGTCGAAGAAAATCAAGTCCATCAAGAAGCTGTCGAAATCCTCCGCCCGTAAAGTCTAAAGTGCGCAATCGCTCTCAGCCTTTTCCCCTCAGAATAGGAGAAATTGCGTACTCATAGTGACGTCCAAGAGAAGTTCAGTTAACCAGACATAAATTCCGGAATAAAAGGCAGTACTTACATCTTGGAAAGCCTTGGTTTGGTTGGAGCAAGCATTTTGAGCAACATTTGTTATTTGTGCCGACGTAGAGTTTCCGGCACCGTCCGTGGATTGAACATGTTCGTGTTGGATGGTCCTAGGACCAACAACAGCGTCCACAGCCCTATGTGCAACAGCACTACCGGTTCCAAAAGCCATACCTGTCAAATAGATAGACTAGGTTAATTCATTTCGGTGAGTTGCGAACTCACAACACAGTTTAAGGACTCACAATCGCTCAGGTTACGACTATTTAAACACTTCTTTTACAAGATTCCAAGCTGGCAGATATTACAAGTGAAACGTCTCCACGACAGAATTCGTACCTTGAGCGATAGTGCTGGCAAGGCCACCAAGCATAGAGCCACCACCCGACTGCGGGACTGCCGGAGGAGGGGCCTGCTGAACTGCAAAATGCCAAAAAGAACACAGAATGATTAGCAATCCCACACAGGAAGGTACATGGTCAATATTTCCGCAGCTTCTAGACAGATCTCTGGTGTATGACGACAGAGCTCATGACCTTTTATGGGGCAATCTTTACTTCATACCGGCTAAAATATTACTATACAGGGAAGCTGGAACTGATTGAAGCGGCTAGGTGCATAGAAAGATGCAACTAAGACTTTAAATCCTCAGCATCACCTAACCAAAAATCAACGTGCTGAGAACAGAACACAAAGAAGCTTGCACAGGTTTGAAGTCACAGAGCAAACCAAGTTACCATGAGCAGGAGGAGGAGCCCGTGATGACATCGGCCGAGCCGCAGGTCGAGGGGCAGGACGCCCTACACAACATCCATATGGTCAGTCTCCAACAGATGTTACATGGATAGTTTACCTATATCTCTAAAAAGGTTCTGAAGATAGTCAGTATAGAACTCGCGTTCCCGGCAAAGCTACATCCGAGAACAGAAAAGATACAACCATCGCAGGTAAACGAAGGTCAAGCTCAAGAAAAACTAGACCCACAAGGAAGACAAGACTAAAGTGCAAATCTGGGGCTTCCTTAGCCTGTATTCGGTCTCGGCTTTGTTTTATTTCTGATGGTTCGGCCATATTGCTTTTGATCTCATGCGTCGCTATTTTATATATTTCTTGTATCATCATTATATAAAAATTGTGGTTTATCAGCTGCTCTCTCCCACTAGCTGGACATAATTTCTCAGATGACCTGTAATACCCCTTCTCCACAATTGCAGCCATGACATGGCTAAATAAGAATGGTTTAGGCTGTCCGACTCTTCTTCTAGAACTGGAATGTCTATCAGCAACACGAAGCTAGCCAGAAAATCCACAAAATAGATAAACTCAATGAGTCGAGTGACCACAGACAATTGCACACCCAACATTGATTTTCTCCATACGCTGCTGGTATACTGGCTCCAAAACAAATATAAAACTTAACATTTGAAACTACTCGACGGTATGCATAATCCGAAAATCTCCGATTAAACCCTAGAGTGAAAGCAATCGTCTCATTTCTCTACTTACAAGACGAATTTGTGGCCAAAATGTTCGTGTTGCCAGATGCTTATTTTAGGTTCATTGAAAAGCAGAGACGCTTCGATAATTTCATTACATATTAATAAGGCACCTAAAACCCTAACAGCGGAAGAATCTTCTTCTTCGACAGTTTCTGTCACACCCCTAAACCCTCGTCCAGATTCGAATCTCATCGCTAACGTGGATGCATTAAAGTTCCTCATGAATTGTTACTACCTTAATAAGGAGAAGCCACCGTCCATGATGAAATTACCAACGAGCACACTCCAAGCATCAAATTTATCACCCGACTTATCCAAGAAAATCTACACCCTCTTTCGTTCTAAAATCTTTGGGAAGGTTAGTGCCCAACCAGATACCACACTAGTCGCATAGCAACAAACAAAACCAATCAAACTCCGAAGTCGATTCCCTACTGAATTCCAGCGAGAATCGGAATGTCCACAAGCACGTACCAGCGCTGCGATTGCGAGGCATGTTTGCGGTCGACGAGAAGAAAAACCTCAGAACAGGGTCGCTGGATCGAGCAGAATTGAGATGGCAACTTCCCCAGACGGCAGCCGGAACTGCGGAATCGAGGATGGACAAATACTCTGCGTGCAGAAACCCACGAACGATACGCCTTCTCCGAGTTCTCTCGAGAAGCTGAGCCCAGCAAATTGCACCAATCCTTAATTCTGCATCCTCCTTATTTTAGCGCAACTGCAGTGCAGAAGTTCTCAGGCGCTTTCCCTTACCTGCTGGTGCCTGTCACCAGGCATTTCTTCTCTCCCACATCCGGTGCGACTGCGTTACACGTGGTTGTTCCATTGCAATGCTCACACCCTCACCACAGTCCATCTAAATCGCGTAACTGTCTCTAGGACATCGTCTTTGGTGCATTTGGGGCTAGCCCCTCGCTTTCGTTTCTCCCATGCACTATTTATTGTCATGACAGAAGTTCTTTTGCTTTTTCTTTTTTTAAAGCGACTCAAATTATATTATTTCTCCTCCAAAAATATATTCATGAAGGTATGTTGATTCTAAACAGAGTATGACCCCGTAATCAATACCAATCTTTAATAAACCTGATCTTTATATCAAAAAGTCCTAAGTGCTCTTACCATATAAACTCTACACATGCCTGTCATGTCTACAAAAGATCTACTTTTTTTTTTCCATTGATAACCTATAAAGTTTCATTTAAATTGATGATAATTTAAATGAATCATAGCTAGAATTTTAGTATATTACAATTTGTAAAAAAATGAAGTAGTAGAAGATTTGTTTATAGATAAATTCAATATATAAGCTTCATCAATTATGTAAATTAACTCAAATGAGATATTTACATGAATATGTTCAAGACACTTGATTTAAATAAAAATCAATATAGGCTTTTCAATATATTTTGACTGAAATTGAATCAAAGTGAAATGTGAAGAATTGATTTTTTGTGAATTGTGAAAATTATTGAAATATGACATAAGAGAAATATCAAACTCAGTTTGATTATTATGTAAACCGATAAATATAAAGCATAGTCATAAGTTATGCAAATTTATGTACAGTGCATGAAAATACTTTGTTTGACTTGAAAGAAAAAATGTGTTTATTATTATGTGAAAAACGTTAAAATTAAGTTTTAAATTTTTTTTGGAAGTTGTTGAATGATAGAGTCAACAATTTAAAAGTTTATTAATATGATACAGCATACAATTTACAGATAGCACGATATTTTTATAAAATATTAATATGATGTCTAGTTTGATTAGTTATGAGTCTTTTAATGATTAATGATTAATGATTAAATTCAAATAACTTTAAGTTTGAATAATTTGAAATTTATGGAAAATTTATTCTTCAATCAATAAAAAGAAAGATATTCATAAATTTATCCATCTCCAAGTAAAAAAAGAATCAAGAATGCTGTAAAGTGATCAGTATTAGAAGAAGAAAAAACTTTTAGACAAGTATGTGAAAATTCATTTTCATTGGTTGATAGATATATAAATATGATTAAAAGAAAGTATAATTAATAGTATTTCCCTGAAAAAAATATTCCAAAAAAAATCGTTGTGAGATTGAAAATTTCCTTATTTATAATATTTCAACAAATAATTCAAAAAATCAAAAAATCAAAATAAATTGAAATCATAAACTTAAGAAATTTTCGTACATTTTAGAAAACCTATGATACTAGTTTTAAAAAAAATCCTACATGTACTGTACGTACATACAGACATATATACACACACATGCAAAATTATGAAAAAAAATTCTACATCTAAAATAAAACTTTCCTCTTTATTCATATATCTTTTATCAATAAAATGAAATTTTTTATTTTAAATGTTGAATTTTTATTTTAAATTTCAAATCTTGTAATTTTGAAATATCAAATTTAGTATTAATATGTGCCAAGAAATCTTTGCGTTTGATGTTGATTAGCATTTTATGAATTTAGGATTTAAAATAAATTTAAAAATGAACAGCATGCACCACAAAGTAAAAACGAATAATTCATTCCAAAGAGTTTACCTTCATCAAAACGCACATGTAGTTTACATTTCAAACACTTCTATCCCACATAGAGCTCCCACTAGCACCATTAGATCTATCTCAGCTAAAGTCTGAAAGTTAAATGATAATTTTAGTCAAGTATTAAAATTTATATTTCAAATCTATATTATGATTTAAGTTTAAAACTAAATTCTGGTGAATTTTTTAAGGAGAATTTTCTTAGCAAAATTTACAGTACTGAATTTTAATATTTTAAAAATTTAAAAATTATATTTATGTCGATGGATTTTCTTTTGGTACCTTACAAAGAAATCTAGATTAATTTTAAGTTTAAAAAAAAAAATTTCGGTAAATTGAAATTCTACATAAAATAACTTGATACAAAACTTCAAAGTCTGAAATCTTCTGAATGAATTTGTAAAATTCTTATTCATAAATGAAGGCACTCTTCTATCATAGCTCATCTTTTGAAATCGATGAAAAACTTTCATCTAGATGAATATGTATTGCGCATGAACGAAATATGTTTTGTGATGAATCATAACAATAATCTTTTTTATACAACTTTTTATTCGTTATAGAGTAATGTGTATTGATCTCGAGCGATTGTAGAATCATAGCTCACAAGTCATTTCATCAGCTACTTACATTCTCTTCGGCCAAAAAACATAACGCCTGTTCGCAAGTAGAAAATTATTATATAATATTGCAGAGTAAGAAGACATAATATTATACTATCGTATCGAGTCGGTGATATATGTACTTTGTAAACTGAGGAATTCATGATTCCGAAAAGAGTCTGCGGTCGAAGGGCCAGAGGAGAGGACAGGCAGCGAAGAACCTCTTGCAGAAGAGATCTTCCCCGGCCCCCGGAGCCGGCTACGAGATGGTCGGTGAGGTCCCGCCGGCTGCGCTTCTGCTCCCCCTTCACCCATTGCGTCTGAAGTTGTTGTGTTATGTTTCTCACGCAAATCGAGCTGTCAGGTTGGAGACTGAGAGAGACTGCCGTGATTAGGCTAATCATACCTCTCGAGGATGCTGTTGGTGCCGCGTTAGTCCAACACCTCTCCCAGACATCGGAGGCCACAAGTCAGCGACATTCCAGGAGGTTTGTTGCTTGATTGCGGTTCTGGTTTCATCCTTCGACAGTCAATCAATTATTGCATAACGGAAGTCCATTCCGTTTCCGGCCTGATCATTTCAAGTACAACTACAATTTTTATCTAGAGATTCGCCTTGAAGGAAGTGATTTTACATCCTCCAAGATCAGACACGACTTCTTCCCTCGCAGCCGAGCGAGATCAGTGAAATCAGATCACCATATTTTAGGATGACTGTCATTACTTGATATCAGTACATCGTCTACGAAGCAACTCATTGGGGCAAGTTTTCTAGTCTGCACTGGTCTTGGGAAACGGAACAACTTTCTCTATCAAAATGCAAAATTGATTTTGGGATTGTTTTTCTTGTTGAAGACCCTGAGGCAGCCTAGCGAGTGAGGAGGCTTGGACGAATGACTGGGTCTTTGGGGTTGATAGAAGCAGAGGAGGGCTTTAGCTGTAGGTCTAGGTTTCAGTACGTCTGGACAGAATTTTGAATGCGAACAGCGACGAAAATAGAGTAGATTTCGTAGAGTGCACGAGGATATCTGAGGATGGACAACCAGACTCAAATCTGTTGGGCGGAAAGCCATTCTAAATTGGACTGTAAATGCTGTATACAGCGAAGATTATCACTTTCCAAATGGCGTACAGTGGCCAACATTTCAGTGAACAGGAAGAGCTGGCCTTTGTCTCAATGAGCGAAAAAAAATCTTGGAAATGTGCATGAAAAGAAATCGGCCTCGAAGGACGCGTCACTTTTGGTTGCAACTGTTGTACAGAGTGCGGCAATCATGCTTGCAAAGGCAAGCTAAATTTAGTCACCGGAGGGTCAAAAAGGGGGGACAATGCTTTCAGTTTCTTCAAAAATGCTGACCCAAACAACATCACCATCTGCCCTTCGTATTGGTATCCTCCTCTGTCTGCATTCTCATCTGAATCAGTGCATGCAATTTGCAAGGTTGGAACTGCACGTTCGGAAGGTATGCTGACGAACGGAAGTAAAGACGATCACTACATTATCGTACGACTGCTTTCACCTCTTTGCAGTATCACAACAAGAGCCATGCTTCACGATGCGACCAGATGGAGCCAGATCGTACCCTGGACAAAATACCACTTCAATGCCCTTTACAGAGAAAATGCCAACAAGATTTATTGGTACCGCGGACAGACTCGGATCCAAGGCGATGCGGTACAATAAATGTCACCTAGTGTCTACGGAGTGGTGAAAGGGAGGGTACTTGTCTCTGGCTTGCTATGGGTCTTCGGGGTTTGGGCTTTACATAGCTTTGATTGTGATCGTGTTTTTTTTGTTCATATTCTTTGAGATTTAATAGTCCAATGTTGCATGCTTCTCCATGGCCGTATACTTAGAGTTTCCTGTTAAGATTCCTTGTGATCGAGATATGTTTTCCGTTTTTCAGCATCATTCAGAACTTGCCAGCATGTGTCACCTTATCACCAAGCACTTCATCTCGGAAGAATCATATCAAGATTGAAACACTAAGGAGCTCTCAAGTCGCCGAAAAGTCGCTTCAGAACATTTCAATCCAGGGAATTGCACTAATGCGGCAAATAATCTGGCCCAGATAGATCACGTTGGTGCTGGCTGACACATGGAAGTGCAGGTGCGAAAAGGTGCGTTCCTGAGAATTCCAATTTCCCAAATCTGGCAGTATTCAGCTCGACATCGGAGGTATTGACACGGCCGCATTGGCCCATGTGAAACCAGCGTGGTCCTATAGCTGATGTTGGCTACTTCTAGGTTGCATAACGTAAGACCAGCTTCCCTTGACATAAGGGGGACACATTGAGTAAGAGGGCCAATGAGATTAGATGCATGGCTCATCTTACAAAATCCCTTTCACGAATATCACTTGTGCTTGTCTGAGTGTTACCGTTGGTGATTTTCAGCACACCTTCTTGGCAGCTGTCATTCCCCGCATCGACCTTAAGCCAAAGCTCCTCGATCCTCCTAATTGACCAACTTATAGGACTCGAGGATCGTTGCCCTTCATCATCAAAGTTCCGTTCTATATACATATACATGTACATACACGATTCGAACATGTCTTATTCCCCCTATGGAATCTTGAGTCCAGGACCTTACGAATCCTGATTACCCTTAGTTCCGTTGTTGAGTGGATACGGTTCCAACAAGGACCGTCAAGAGCAGTCTCAATTCCTCGCTGATAGAGTGGTCGAAAGAAAAAGAAATGAATAAGAGGACGGCCAGAGTCTCCAGACATTTATCCGCTCGCAAAGGATTCGATGTATTGGAAGTAGGTTGCGCAAAGTGAAAAGAGTGAGTAAAGAGAAGACGTGTGGATTATGATCTATACCACCTGATAGCTCATAACGAGTTTTCTCGTAAAGCACCATCATTAGCAAGTCAGACAACATCATTACCGAAGGGGAGCATTGAAGTCAACCGCATGGAAAATTATCAACTTCAAAGACAAAAGGTCACCAAACTGCCTGCTAATTTGGCTCGGCATGTATAGGAGGATGGCTGTTAGGTGATTCAGGAAGGAAGGATGGGGTCAACAGAGGATAGGAGGGAGAGAGCAAACGAGGCTACATTAAGGTGTTGAGAAGGATCCAGAAGACTCGTTGGCTGATGCGCATCGTATAACATGTGCAGAGAGCATGTGCTCGTCTCTCTTTGCCGATTGCATGTACTTCTATTCCCGCCAGTTTGTCATCGTTTGGAGTAAGGTTTAAGCTTTGTCTGGATCAAAGGTTGAAATATGTGACTTGTCTAGCTGATGGCATACACTTGACTCTTCCAGTACGAGTTCCAATATTACAATGCTTAAAATAAATGCAAGATCCAAGTCAATCCACGCTGAGTTAGTAGCTCAACCTCATAAAGTTGGAAAGAAAAAGTTGGAAGTAAGGGAAAAAATAAAAGCGTATGATGACAAAAAGAAACAGATTCCTTCAATAAAAGTCCCAAATTATCCAAATTCGGAGCATGATGTGACAAAGATAATATCTGCCGGAAATCATCGAGAATTGAAAAGGGTGAAATTGAGGGCAGCTAGGGTGTCTGGCTGACAATATTTGTAACGCGAAGCTAATCGACTCAGTTGAGGTCGGAATTCTGGGGGTCTAAAGGACGTACCCTTCTAAGTCAAACGAACAACAAGTGAGATCAAGTTCATTGGTTCCAGGAGATGGAAAAGTTGTTCGCTTCAAGGTACTGGAAAGTGAAGGACTCGACCCAAACATGATCGCTTTTGGCATCTGGAATATACCTTTCTGAAGAAAATCTGAGGCATTATCATTGTTTTGACAGTGTCCAGTGGCCGGCGAAACACTTGAAGTGTGGGAAGACGGGGGAAAGGATAGAGAGTCCTTGAGTCATCATTGGCTGCTTAACAGAGAGCTGCTGTCAATCTTCATCCAGCTCCAGCAGGACACATTTGGCCAAAGAGGAAGAGAAGACGAGCTTGCAAGAAGGCAATTATCTCAAGTCTTCCCGTACTGGGCAGATTGGTTGTATCAAAAAGTCTCTTCCGGTTGTTCTTTAAATATTATTGTGCCGGAAACTGCAATGTAAAAAAAAGTGTTTCTGAGCTTGAAAGGTGACGATTGTAGTACGATCTGAGTCTTTCTTGATGTTTCATACATTATTGCATGTAGCCGAGATATATCACATATTTTACTGTTCCTTTATCAACACATGATCTTTGTCCATATGAGACTCTACACCAGAACCACACAGGGAGCAACAAGGTCATATTGTTGCTCCCTGCCCCTGATGGTGGGGAAAAAGAAGGAATTATAGATGGTTTGCAATTCGACAGGTACGTGGAATGATCAGGAGGCGGGGTGGGGTGGGGTGCCTTTTTCATGTGAGTTGGATTTTGGGAGACGAATCGAAAAGGTGCACCAAGTCATAGAGCGGAAAGGATGGGAAGACCCCGTACAGAGATGGAACCAAGCGGGTGATATGGGGCTAGGTCCTAATTCCAAATGACACGGATTGGGATTGATGGTTGTTCGTATGTAGACTAGAAGTGTACAGGTTGAGCATGGGAGGAGGAGGAAATTGATACCTCCTCCCCATCCCCCATGTCACAAGGGGGATCGTTTGGAGGAGGAAGAAGTTGATGGAAAGGTGAAAAGAGATAAATGGAGATATGGAAGCAATGGAAGTCCCCGAGGAGGAAGGGTGGGGGAAACGGAAAACAGGACGAATAGTACCATCCATCCTCTCACATGTCTCAGCGTGCGTGGGAGGAACCCAGCCCCTCCTCCCCTCTCGCTGCACTGCCATACCTCGAGACTTGAGCCACTCCACTCCACTCCCTCTCCCTCGCAGCTGGAATTGCATGCTCCTCTGGCTTTCATTTCCTCTTCCCCATGGACTATATGCTCCTTTATACCAACTACTCGGCCACCCACAACTCAATCAAGGCCTTCGGTTCACAGACCGGACTCCAAAGGCTTGATTTTTCCGAGAGAAGAGATCCTCATGAATGGAATCTGCCGATTCCGTTCAAGACATTCGGTAGTTGTGGATGCAAAACTCCAGCTGCACCATTCCCTGGCTCCGGTTCAGTTGCCTGCTGCAGAAGCAGCGGCTGGCTCCGTTGCCCACAATCTGATTCCAGCACCCGGAGGTTCCCTTTAGGAGGAATGAGACTGGCTTTTCCCGCTGCCGGTGGCTCATTGGCTCATAGCGTGGAGGCTGGGGGGCAGTACTGTAGGTCAGTGGCAAGGAGTTTAGCTTGGACTGTCCCGAGCTGACGATCAGATGAAAGAGCAGAGCCCAAAAGAGTAACCACCAGTCGTTGAGTGTGCGACGTTTAAACAGCTTGCTTTTGAAGGCTTTAAATTATCCTTGCTCCTGGCACTTCCCTTGACCCCCAGAGTGGGTCTCGGCCCCTCACTCAGCCGTTTTCCTCTTTCGGTCAAAATTGCAGGACTGTACTGCACTTTACGGAACTTTGTATATTCTTCGGCCCCTCCCTCCCTTTCTCTTGGCTCTTGTACAGAGAGAGTGTGTCCTGCTCCCTGTCCTTGCATCTCAATCCTTTCCCTCCATCAGAGTCCCCCCCCGCCGATTCCACCCCCTCCTCTCGTCTCCCGTACCCTCCCGCCCTGCCATCCAGAATCCCTCTCTTCTCCCTCGTGCAAGAAACCTGCTCCTCTGTTATTCGAGATTCCATAGAATTCTGAGTTAGAATTTTCTTTGTTTTTTAAATCCTTTTCTCCTTCTTGAACCTCTGAAATTGGCCCAGGAGCAGATCCCCTGAAAGTTCGGTGTCGGATTCTCGTGATCGGCTCACGGGATCCACTAGAATTTCGAGGAATTTGGCATTTCTTCCTTTACCTGCGCATCGAGACTCCTCCTGAACTGATTCGCCCAATTTCTGTTCCATATCCCCGAGTGTTACGTGGAATTTTGTGGCGACTGGATTGAGAAGCGGAATACAGTTCGAGTCCTGGCTGCGCACGAGCAGCCGAGTACACGACAGGAGTAGAAGTACTTGTCGTAGGAGTAGTAGTGCGGCGCGTGCTGGCAACAGGACCCCGATGCGATCTGGATTCCAGAGCCATCACTCGTAGTAGCTCATTCGTATTGCCTCAAGTGTAGTTGCAGCAGCTGCTGCAGAAGCACCTCGCTCTCGAGCTATGGACGGTGAACATTCTGGCCTGAGTACCTGGCTCTACACTCTAGGAGAAGCACCGATGTCAACTCAGATTTCTCGGGAAATATTTTTCAAGATTTGAGAGTAGCAGCTGTCACATGGACAGAGCAGTGATCATTTCTTGACGGCGACGAAAGAATTGCCGAATCAGGGCAAAACAGAAAGAAGCTCAGGCTGAGGTTTTCGACTCTTCTTCCTGGGGGACTTCTGTACAAGAGCAGTAGAGCTCTTGACCGTGCAGGTGTAGCGGAATTTTCACCAGGCCGCCATCATTCAAGAAATCGGTACAAAAATGGATAGATTGTTCTTGTCACATCCGAATGAAGACGCGGACGTTGATGCACTGCTTTCACAACTGAATGACGAGCATCTGATGACGCTTAAAATCAACAGCCACACTTCCACTCAGAGCATCGGATACCCCACCGCCGGTACAGGGAATGGAGTATGGTCTCATACGGGCAGTGATGATGCTGATGGGGCCATAGATTCTCAGCTGAGCAGCCGACTGGCAAAATTGAAGGCTGGCCATCGCTTATCTTCCTCGTCTGCAGCAGTAGCAGCTTCGAAGAGTAAAGGGAAGGACACAGAGGCCAAGAAGGAGAATGGTGGGTTGAGTTTCAGAAGGTCATCATCGAAGAGGGAGGATGGTGTTATTGCTGCTGGTGCCAGTGACAAGAGGAGGTTGTCGAGAAGCCAGTCGCAGAATAGCGAATTCCTTTCATGCAGATCGGGGGTTGACAATCTTGACGACTCTGAGGACATCGATGCCAATCTCGTGGCACGGTTTCGTGCTTTGAAGGGAGCTTCATCTCCAAAATCTTCTGATGCCAGCTTGGTACAATTTTCAGGCAACTTGTCGAGCCAAGGAGGTTCCAGCGATTATTACAATTCTTCCTCTTTCGGATCGTCTTCACCTTCTGCCACTCTCCTCGGTCGATCGAGCTCGAGATCTTCTCCCCGTGTGATGAGCACCTCGGTTGCTTCCTCCTGCTACTGCTCCACCCCTTCTCCCTTCAAGCTTTTGAAGCAGCTGAGCTCCAAGAAATTACCCTCTGCCAAGCCTGCTACCCTGCCAATTTCACCATCTTCCAAGTCGCCTTCTACCAAAGGCCAATTCACTGGAAACGGGCATGGGCATGGGCATGGGAAGTCGGCGGGGAAAGAGAGCAGCTCCAAGAAGACCCTTCAGAAAAGTCGAGGAGATGACGTCGAGAATTTGTCCACCGTGAAAGATGTCAAGAGGTTGCTGTCATCTGTCGCAGACAGAGTTGGCGTGGAGAGAAGCAGAGTCTCCTCGGCAGAAGAGGAGGACTCTTTGAGTGGAGACTTGCGTGCGTTTTCCCTGCTGGACAGGGAGCAAGAATACATGAAAGCTTCTTCGGAAGAAGAGAAGCTGAATCGTGAGGCAGAGAGGGTGGTGGAGTGGGCCAAAGATGCTGCCCGGCTGGGCCTCGATGCCTCGGACGGAGAGGACGAAGATTTGGAATTAGGCGAAGAGGATCTTGATTCAGAAAGCTCCACTGAGAAACATATCAAGAATGCCAAAGATTCGAAGAAGGCGTCCAAGCCCAAGAGGAAAAAGATGTGGGGTTTGTTTTGATTTTTATCTTTCTGTTTCTTTCTGAGTCTTTCCTCCTCTACAGGCCACCGAACTTGATCATTGACCTTTGGTCTCACTCTGCCTCCTGCTCTAGTGGCTGATTTTGTGCTCCATGGCATTTTAGACTACTGTCTACCAGACGATGTGCTTGCTATGAGTATTGCAGCAGTAGTTTTGTTCAGGGTGAGACGAAGTGTTGTACATATAACGTCCAGCTCCACAGTTCAAATCCCAAGTACATATGATACTAGGCATACTTTCGTCTATCATTCGCTTTGGGAGATTGTTTGGAAACGAAACATGTAACTCCTCAAAGGAATAATGATTCTCCCAGTGCATTCTCAGTTGTAAATTTCTTACATCCGACAGAGACAAATCACGCGTTTTTCTAGTGTGATGCATGTCAAGGTTTCTGGTGTGCAGTGAGATCCTGTTCACATACGAACTCTAAATTAGTTTCTGTTGGGTGGATTTCAAGATGGCTCGTTGACCTAGAGTCATCTACGTTAATGCTCTTCTCAGTTCCCTCACATAGGAGGAAAAGATAGATTGCAATTGATGTCTGGTTTGTGGGACCTGAAGCGATTGTGTTCGAAGATCTAGATGTAATCCACATCTAACTGCTCGAATATAGTGATATTGCCGTGTTCAATTACGTGCCTTGGATTCCTAGCTTTTCTGTTCTTATAGTTCAATGCAGAACTGTTTACAATGATGAGTTAGTCTCTTTAATATGTTCTGTATTTGGGGAGGTATTTCTTGGAACCTCTCCAAATACAGAACATGAGGCGAATATGATTCCATGATCATCTTGTAACCTTATATTTGTTTATAGTTACATAGTCTGGATAATTTGGAATGTACAGAGTTTTGGTGGTGGCAATATGCTCCTTGGTAACTTTTTTAATTGCTGAATTAGTGTTTTCATCAAAAGCTCTAGTATGACGGAATAGCTGAGTGCATTGTTAGAACGCTGAAAGCATAGTGAAGACCACGTGCCTACATGCAAACTGATGGACAATGACATTACTACACTTTCACTGAGGTGAAGAAGAGAATACTGATACACGTATCTCTTGAAGCCTCTCAATCTTGTCTTTCAACTGACAGTGGGATTGTCACTATGATACCAAAAGACTAGGAATAAAGCATGTTTTTTGACACAAGCGGTCAATTGACTGGCTGAATATGTTACTAATATGTTGTGGATTAAAGGGTTCATACATTCTGTGGTAGGAAATCGAGTACTGTTGGCTACAATGAGCATGGTGTCGGGTTGAGAGACATGTGAGGTTTTGCTGTATCCAGCTGCATGATCTTTGAAGCAATAAACACATGGCCTCTGCCGTTATTCGAAACGCCCTCAACCTAGTGACACCCTTAACTGAAAGCAAATCCACATATTCTGATTTGTAATTGCAGGCTATCATACTCTCACAGAGTTAGTGGCAAATTTTACAATTCCTCAACCTAGTGACACCCTTAACTGAAAGCAAATCCACATATTCTGATTTGTAATTGCAGGCTATCATACTCTCACAGAGTTAGTGGCAAATTTTACAATTCCTGTCAAACCTCCCTGCGAAATGTACCATTCTTGTTTCGCAATACAAAGGTCGAAATTTTTTCTATTAAGCTTCTTGAAGGAACTCCTGTATTCCAAATGATATGGAAGAATTAATCTCTGACCGGAATGTCTCATAATGCATGTTGTTCCCATTACAACTCATTTTGTTTTACACCAAAGAGTTGAGATTGTTTCCAGCGACATTTTACTAGGGTTAGCTAATGTCTTTTGTCACTATAATGCCTCTTCCTGTGTGAAAGCTACGGTATTTCTTTGAACGCTTATTTCATAAGGAGGTAAGATCATTGCAAAGCTGATAAATGATGATATGCATGGGAACTCTGGACTGCGTGAATACTGGGCTGATAATTGTAATTCAGGATACGTAGCCGCCGTGTTGACTATGGTTATGTTATGGAGTTTCCGACTTAGCTTCTGACTCTGCACGTTTGTCAGTGAAATATAAAAATACCTGTAGTACAGTATATCTTTGTTTGAACTTTTAACCCGCTTCTCAGTTGTACTTTCATTCAAGGATTCCTAGATTCTCATGCATTATTGTCACTGGAAGAATCAATCTTTGACCGGAATGTCTCATAATGCATATTGTTCTGCTGACAGACTGTTCTGCCGATTCAAATGGCTCGGAATAGGAATTCAGGGGAAATGCTGAGACACAACTGTACGAAAATGAATGTACACTGCTCTGGGGGATGAAATCTTTTAGCTTTAACATAATCCACAAAAGAAGATTTCGATTCTTAAAATGTTTACAGGAATGAAATTTGAACCAAGAGCTCAAGGAACTCAAACGCGCGCATCAATGTCCTTTCCTGTGCAAGCATAGAATTTTCCTATTCAAGATCTGTGAAAAATTTATTCCAAGATTTAGTAGACCATAGTCCATAATGCCCTCGGACGCACACATCGAAGGAGAAGGAAAGACCAAAAACCACAATCCAACAACTCACCAACCCGTTGAATCCCACCGTAACTAACCTAATGCAAAGCTTGGGTTCAGAGGTGTTGAATTTGTATTGGACCGGCTAACCTGCGGAATACAGTGAGGAAGATCTGATTATTTCTGGGCTGGCAGAACAACCACAACTGACAAGACCACAAACATCTGAGCTGACACTTGTTGGGATACAGAAAGCAAAGGCTTTTCCCTGTTCGCTAGCTTATTCGAAGGATAATCGCCCACTTCTGTCTGACATGTTCTGGCTTCCAAGAAGGTGTAGGTCAAAAACACCTTGAGCCTTGACTCTATGACACTGGCTTTCCCACTGACACCTAGCAGTGACTGCAACATCCTCCTAGGGAGCATCGAACTAAATCAGCTGGAGCTTGGGGCTGCATATAGATGCATAGTGCAGAGGTACACTGCAGGCCCTGACACTATTCCCTCCTTGCTCAGCTTGACGGGCAGTGGCCGTTGGACACCATGGACTGGAATCGGACAGCGAGTGGCGTGGGAGATTCGCGGTGCTGGAAAAGCTTCATCCGACCTTAGATCAGATCTATATCAACCATCTTCTACTCCGGCAAGGCCTTGCCTCACGCTCCTTCTGTATCCACAATATTACTCCCATGCATTCCGGACAGGAGGTTTTGAGAAGAAAAGTCTTCTGCACGTTGATGACTAAGCCCGTCTTAGATTGCATGCAACAGTACTGTCGAGCTTGGAGAACAAATACTCGTCAAAGCAATTCTTCTGCGCTTCAATTGCACCGAAGTACGGTGCCTACGTCAAAGTATAGCATGCGGCACCCAAGTTAAGATCCTGAATCCCATGTCCAGATGATATGCTATGGCAGTCAGCCACATCTCGAGTTTCCAGTCATCTACAACTAGGCATCTACTCAGTTGTTGCTCTATCATGCTTCGCAAGAGCTGGCATTGTCAGTTTCCAAACTAGTATACATGTTAAGTCCTCAACATATGCACACGTTGGTCCGCAACGTGTTGCTTCAAGAGATTTAGAATCAGGTTATGGTTATGGTTCGAAGGCCTTCTTAATAGCGAACTTAAGGAACCAATTTGGGGCGCCCCGTACCATCCTCAGAGCTCTCTTATGCCACATTGTGCACCCCAATTACCAGTTCCAGTTCGTCTGCTAAAATGCAACAATAAATATGCGTATAGGAAAGTGTGCACAACTAACAACAGTCCACGGTTCCTTGCTTACGCTGTATACATGACATGAAATATGGCTGAAATGTGTACTTACTACAGTGTACATTACAGAGATTTACATACGGCCGTACCCGCCGCCCTACACTCATTTCACTGAAATTATTTCAAGCGCAGCAGATTTTCGACGTCAAAATTATCATGGTGGACAGCTACCAACCAGCAGATGTGTTATGTTGTATGGTGATCTGCTTAATTTGATTGACGCAAAAGTATAACGCTTTAGACTTGCTTGCCGATTCATCTCGTGGAAATCCAATGAATCGATGTTTGGTGTCAGAAGGATAATAATACTGGAAAAATTATTCGGTTGGATCGTTCAATCTTGACATAGTCTTGGTAATCAGTGCTGTGTCTTCCTGCAATGCAAAATTCCACTCAATCAATATTGAGTGCCTTATTACAACGCTCCTGTGCATAACAGTGACCCAGCCACTTTGATAGTTTGCATGGGAAGTATGGATACTGGGAAACTTTTTCAACTGAAATGGGAAGCTTAGCCCCATCCTTATTTGTTATCCACTTGTTCCCCCGTTCACCAGTTTAGCACCATAACGTCAATACAGTAGGTGAGATTCTGCCTTATGTGAATCTTATACATCCTCAGAATATCACAAATCAATCTTGAAGGACTTTGCCCTCAACATGCAGTTGGTCACCTTACTACTTCAAATAGCGCTTCAATAGTGTCAATCACACTTACTCTGTGCAATGCATGTGTCAGCCCTTGCAACTCTTATGATGAGTCTAAATCCAATACGCAGAATTCACATAATAGAACATTACTATCGCCATGTTCCAGCTACTTGTTGAACTAGTGACAGTTTTTCCAATCCTTTGTAGAGTAAAGTTTGCTCTCTTGCACAAGCCTTGGCAGGGGATCTCGACATACGTATTTCGTCATAGCAACGCAGACACTTTGAGACTGCATGCGCCAATGATGTCAGGCCTTGGACATTGCTCCTAAATCCACCTGTAGCATCCAAATGGATGCTACTGGTATATGTAACCACACAGATGCATCAAGTAAAGTTTGGTCATGAATCTGCAATCTGCATCCTATATATTATTGCACAAAATTTCCTTGCTATTTACTATACAATCTGACCTATGGTTCAAACACGACTACGACAATGATTAGGGAATACTTGAGCCATGAGTACTTGCTTGTCGTAGGATTCATCACCATTCTCTTGTTCTTTGGATCTTCCTGTCGTAGTCCGAAGATGCTCGAGGCAATCTTTGATCATGTGAACTTTTCTCTCGGAATGGTGACGTTGCGTCCATCTTGGCTCAACACAACTCAGTGGTCCGCATTGTCGTCAAACCTTATCTTTTAGTAAGCTCTTTCCGGAAACATGTGGACGAAGGTCCACAAGGTAATCAAGGATAATGATTGTCTCTCGTCCAAGCTTCTGGAGATTGATTCCATCGATACGACCTTCAAAGGCTTCTAAACATCAAACTCTTTACAACGTCAACTTGAATCAACTGAGTGTATAACATAATAAGGGTATAAATGTATTATAAAATAAACATACAATGGAATGGATACTCATGTTGAGTTTATCTCTTAACGTTGAGTGAGGGATTGATGGCCGCAAGAGTACTCCATGCATCAAGGTCTTCTTGGAAGACGAGATGTGATGTACTTGATTGTCAATGTTGAGTTAGATACATCATAAACCATGATCTTGGAGCTTGAACTTGCTTTTGATTCTATATATACAATTCATCATTCTTTGAGTTTCCTACATCGATTGGTTCGATGCTCCGTCGAACTTGCGTTGGACCAAATTGGCTTTTGTTCACCAAAACCCATAGCCCTTTCTCGCAAGGACTACTTTGATTTGAAAACATTCCATGTATGGTATGTACTCCAAATCTGATGTGGTGGTATACTTTGTAATCGAGTACACATAGAAAATCGATATTAAGAGTGTTAATGAGGTAGATCTTTTAAATTTCGTCTTGGAAGTTGGCGAGTGCACGTATCTTAGCCCTCGAACGCACCAATTTGCAGACTAAATGCTGTATGTAATGTGGGCCCATAACCTAACTCATGCACTGAGTGAGAAGAATCATGGTTAGGTGTAACTCTCATCAAACTATAAAGATTTTTGGTAGTTTAAAATGATCTCTGGTATCTACACCAACCAATACAGCACTCGAGTTGTTCAACCTCAGCAAAATTACTCCTCTCTAAATCGTCTACGCACATCATCTAACAATCTGTAAATGTATTTGTCTTAGTGTATATTCATAGAGTCCTTTTGATGCAGCCAAGTTAAATTTACATTGTTCTGTTGATCCATTTGTTTTGTTTTTTTTAAACTTTTACGTTGACAAAATATATGCAAAATTCTATTTTAGTGAACAGATCACTGTGAGATTTATTCTCGATCTCTTGAATTCATGAATATATGATATATTTTTTATAGAAGCCAACTCCAAGCTTCTACAAAAAATTCACAACAAAATACAATTCAATAAATTGTTCTATTTTGTACATTTGTGAGGCAGATCACTTGAAGAAATATTCTTACTCTCATTCTTTCATGAAAATGTGAATGTTCTTCTGGGAAAATCTTGGACTAAGAGCGTTATCAACATGTGGATAGTGCTATATTTCTATATATTGATGATTAACTGGGTAAATAGCCTTGAGAAATAGATTAGTAGAGAAGTAGAGGCAAAATTCACAAA